CATTGAGGGGCATCTTGCTGGCCTCTACTTGCCCCTCCCCTCCCAGCCACTCCTCACCTGCCTGCCTGTGCTCCTTAGGGCCCAACAGGAAGCAGTTGTTGGAGCTAAGCAGCCACCACGAGAAACAGTTGACAAAACAGCTGTCTCAGTTCAAATTGGATCTGACCGAGAAGGAGGCTCAGCAGAAGCACCTCACTGAGGACTACGAGCATAGCTTTCCAAGCAGAGGGAAGACCTGCAGGAGTGCAAGGCCAAGTACCGGCGCTTGGAGGCTCGGCGGGCTGAGATCGTCAGCCAGTTTCAAGCCATGTTGCAGTCCCACTGAAACAAGTTTCTCCGGCTCTTTGCCACCCGTGGCACTTCCTTTCAGTTTTCACCCAAAGTCCTGTACCAGGAGGCTGAAGCAGACCTCAACTTGGAATTTCTGCCCCTCTCCGACCCACACAAAAAGACTCCAAGTGGGAAGACTCTCTGCAGCAACACAAACGTTCATTGCATTTATCCTTCCAAGGGGCCATAGTTGGAGTATCCTTGATTTAGTGCAATATAAAAAAAATGCAAAATAAATTCTGCAGACCATCATAATTTTCTCGCGGACCACTAGTAATCCACAGACCACCAGTTGGTGACCACTGCTTTCGAGCATTTTATTTGCAAGAAATGCCTCCTAAATTAGATTTAAATCTTAATGTTGCCATGCTCCCTAACTGGATACCTGAAATGAAGGTACTTATCTATCAGCTAAAATGTGGTAAAACTCCAGGCAACGAGTTTATTACTGCTGAGATATTATATAATAATTTAGAATGGCAAAGCCCAGTTCTTTCTTCTCTGTTTACGCGTTGCACTCTGCATATCCCAGAAGACTGGGCCTTGGCCACTATGTGCCCATAGTGCACCCAAAATCTGCCTGATAATTGTAGGCATATTAGCCATTTAAAAATAAATAAGGTCTATGAACAAACTTTTGTGCAAAAAATTAGTTGGCTTAATTGATATTTTTCAAGTGCTATTGTAACTTCAAATGGTCATTAAATGAACTGTTGTAAATCAAGGACTACTTGTATAAGGTCTTAATCATGGTAAAAGCCACAGGAACTTTTTATCTTTTTTATGTACAGGTGCCATATAGTTGAACGTGGCTAAATTTTGTGACTCAGCTTTTAAACTTGGGCAGACTTTGAGTATTCCCCCAACAAACCCACCACTAGTTGTAATATTTTAGCTTGTTTTTACTTTATTTTTTATTTTTAATGTATTTTTGTTTGCAATTCTGTCTGGTGACCATAATCTTTTTTTTACAAAAAAGATATATACACTCTATAATCTCTGTTGTGTAAAATGATTGATGTGACAAAATATGTATTTGTACTCTGGGGAAAAGGGGCTCATTTCTATAGCTCATATACTTAGTGTAATTAATTTGTCTGTCTTGGGAAGATTAATATATGCATCTCACAGTGCTTTTTGCATGACAGAGAGCCAAATTAAGTCCAGGAAAACAAGTTTCCCTATTGATTCTCTTGATGGTTTATGTTTTTGTTTTGCAACAGGATACATAGAGAATTTGGTATGACGTGCCTTGGCGTTTTTCGTATGCAAACTTCATGCCTGTCTCCAATGTTTAAATTTGTAGATTTTATTTTTCCTAATGGAATGGAAACCTTAGTGTGCCTTAGTGGCTGGGTTTGCCCAATATGTTTGGTTTGGTGACTGGATAAGCTAATTTTCTGGGTTCCATCCTTGAGTTTGACACCCCTGGCCTAGAGGGTAGATTTTGGAGGATATTACTACCAGTCCATTGCCATGGTTAGATAACACTGATCATTTTTCCCCCTTACTTTTTGAGTTCTCCTTGCTTGCAGAGGGAGTGGGACCTGTTAGATCAATCTATCCCAGGCAACTGATGAAGCTGAATGGGTTCAAGAAGGAACACAAAGTTTTCCTTGGTGGGGTTTTCTTTTCATATCCACTAAAGTAGTATTTTATTTGATCCAGCTTGCAGATTTTCACATATATAAGAGGAATGTCATGGCCACATCTAACCTTTATGGGATTTGTATCATCTACTGAAAATTAAAGAGGACACAGAGAAGCTAAATAAGCAAAGTGCTAACTTTTACTAGATGCCTTGGGCAGCAACTGCTGCAAATGGCAAACAAATGGAATAATACTTGGCAGCTGAAAAGTTGGGGAGTGATATTTTTACCAGATGTATGAATAGAGACAATAATCTTGATTCTCTTTAGCTCTTTATAGCAAATGCAATTTATTGGGTATCAGACTGAATAGATGCCGGAATCTGTAACCAGTGGTAGAAAAGAATCTTCTTAAATATGTTCCTGTTTTATCTCACTATATATAAAAAAACCCTTTCATTGATTGACAATAATAAGAGGCTTTTTCTTTCTACATTTTTTTTATCTCAGAGATTTAGTACTTACAATGAAGTGAAAAGGAAATATTTTCCCACCTAAACATAACAAACTTGATCCTGAATGATTGTTCGGTACTTTACAAAGAATGAAAGCAACTTTTACTTCTGGAAATACTACTCTGATTTTGGTAATGGAACCTGTCAAATGATATGTCGTATGGTTCAAACGTCTCAGCACTATTTAAAACAGAAAACAATGATTACAGTTGGCTTTACAGTGGTTAGGACCCTTTGGTTAATTCAGTTTTGGACAATGTCTTATTCTACACCATATTTTTAAAAAAATGAAAGAATAACCTTTTCAAACACAAGGCTAAAAAACTGAGAAGTTTTAAATGAACATTTTTTATTGTTCTCTATATCATTCTCTACATCTCCTCTTGCATTTAATACATTGTCAGCTGAGAGAATGAGCATGGCATAAGGCCATATATGTCATCAGTGTTCAACTTGGAATTGTTAAATAAAGTCTTAAAACCGCCATATTTGTTCTCAGTTTTAGTAAAAGCTGAATATTTAGTTCATAAAAATCTGTTCAATAGAGAGGGAGGCAATACCTTTTTTCACTTAAAAGCCCATATTCTCTGTGAACTTTCATCTAAAAGTGTTCTTGTGAATATTTTTGGTACTAGTTGCTTCAGTGTATTTGAGGAGAGATATGCTACCATCTCACTTTGATTCATGGATAGGGTATTTGTTGGCCCATGAATGACCATAGATTTAACAAAAACCGTCACTTGGATCTGCTTTAGAAAACACTGTACACAACATAATTTAAGAAATACTGTTCTAAAAAATGGTTTGGCAAGCTTACATATGGTTCATTAAAATATGTCTCTCTCTTTCTCCCTCCCTCTTTCTCTCATTAGTATCCTGACATTCCTTCTGAATCAACAATTTAATTTGGGTTTCTTACCATTTGAAGCAGACAACATATATTTCTCATGCAAATCTAAAGTAGGCTTAATATATTTTTAAAAATAAAAATAAAAAACGCTCCTGTATCCCCCAAAAGAAAATCTTGGATCTATTTACTCTTTTCAGTTAATTCTCGGCTTTCCACAGTCCTCAACAATTTCTACTGTTCTTCATGATAATCCACCATGTTTTTATCTATTATATAAATATATAGCCTGTCATATAGCCTATAGTCCAAAGATTTAGAATGTGAATTCACAGCCTAAGATCTGTTTCACATTTTGTTATCTTGTATGGCAGAACGTGTCTGAAACAATTGAAGCAGCTGGCAGCACTTCAGCACAGCAGGTAGCTGCTGATCAGCAGTAAGAAGCTGAATGTAGGGTATTGCTGACTCTAAGCACTAAAAGCCTGGTGGGCTTTTCAGGTTGACTAGTCAGGAAGATTTTGAAGAGGAAAAAAAAGAAGGTCATTTTGGCTTGGAGCCATGTTTCTTCTGCCACCTAAAACTGAGGCTAAAAAAACCTGCAAGATGCTCTCAGAAGTTCATGATTACAACACTTGAGACTTGGTGAGTGCATGTTTCCATCATGACTTCGTGGCTTTAAAAAGTCTGTAAATGTTTGTATTGATTTTTTATGATCATCTGTTGTCTGGGCTTCAAGCAGAAAGGTGAGAATATATATGCTTTCTCTAAACAGATCTACTTCAAGCTGATGTCTTCCAAGTGTATTGGACATCAGCACCCAATGATTCTTCTAGAATTGCTGGTAATTCAAATCCTGCTAGAGGTCATCCAGCTGGAAATGCTGAAATAAATAAGGGAATAGAAGTGAATGGAGCTGGTGTTGTGGAACATACAGTAAATACATATCCCAGATATGGGATGTTCTTTCAAACATAGGTCAGTAATCAGCTTTCAAGTATTCGCTTCTTCTTTGCAGGAGAAAATGCTAGCAGCTGAGTTTGTAACTGTTAAGTTCGGCAGGTCGGACTCATAGAGACGAGAGACTCAGGTCAAGTGAACAACAGCTCTTTATTTAACAGGCTAGTTCTGAGTAAAAAACAGCGCTCGCGGCGGCTCTTCTTATAGAGCTAGTCGTGGCTAGGCGGCCAATGACATCGCTTTGAGTTTCCCGCGATTGGTTCCATCCAATCGCGGTAGACTCCTAGCGAACCAATCATAGCCGTCCTAACTGTCCAATCATGTAACAGTCTTTGTGGACCAATAGGAATGCAGGGTTTCAAGCCTGCTAATATGGAACACCCCTCCCCTCTTGGTTTCGTCCAAGGGGCGGGGTGATTTAGTCACGTAGGTAGGCGGGTCTTTGGACCTGCCTACTTGACCTGCACGTCTCAGTAGGTCTCTGGTTGTCGTCTGGTTCGGACGGGCTCCGCATTGCTCTCAACCATCTCGGTGGAACCGCCTGGAAGGGTGAGCCGGGCCTATAGCTGCGACTCCTGCCTGGTCTGCCTGGGTTGGTCAAGTCATTCGCTCCGCCGCTCCCGCCTGGATTCTCTGGGCTGGTTGAGCTTGTCCAGCTACTCCCTTCAGGTGAAGCACCCGTCTGCAACGGTTCTGTGTTTTCAGGTGAGTATGGTTGGTTGATTGTTTGGCTTCTGATTGGGGGGTGTTCTGCTTGTGTTAAGAGTTTTTCTTTTTCAATGTTTGAGATTTCCCCCCCCACAATCTGATTTCTTTACCATCTGTGTGAGGTGTGCTGGCTAGCCTTGACCGTAGCTGGTCGATGTGTCGCTTCCAGCTTCGCCCATCGGTTGTTTCTAGGCGGTATGACCGGGGTCTGGTTATTTGGGTGATTTGTGCAGGTACCCAGAGAGGGTCTCCGGTGAAACTTTTTGCAAAAACAGTGTCGCCAATGTTAAATGCTCGGTGTCGGCTGGTGGAGCCTGGGGGTTTCTCTGGATTATATGTGGGGTGTAAGCGGTCTAGTGGTGAGCGGAGTCTTCTGCTCATAAGTAATTCCGCTGGGCATTTGTTTGTGGTTGTGTTAGGCGTGATATGTTGTATTAGTAGCATTTTATTAATTTTCTCCTGAATGTTGCCGTCTTCTATTTTTTGTATGGTTTTTTTGGTAAACTGAACCATTCGTTCCGCCCGCCCATTTGCCGCTGGGTGAGCAGGCGATGTTAAGGCATGTCTGATGCCTCGGTCAGCCAGGTATTGTTCGAATGCCAGTGCCGTGAACTGTGGTCCGTTGTCGGACACTAGCACATCTGGCAAACCGTGTGTGGCAAAGAGTTTGTTTAGTTTCGTTATGACAGCATCTGTAGTTGTTGTTTTCATAGTGCAAACTTCCAGCCAATTTGAATAAGCATCGACGGTAATCAGAAATGTGTGTCCTTTAGTGGGGCCGGCGAAATCTACATGGATCCGTGACCAGGGGCCTCTAGGGGTTTCCCATTCCAAGGGTGGTGCTGTGGGGGGGGGGGTGGAACGTGTTTGTTGGCATCTGTTGCAAGCGGCTACCCATGTTTCGATCTGCTTGTCCATCCCTGGCCACCAAGCATAACTTCTGGCCAGGGCTTTCATTCGGACGATGCCCGGGTGCCCTTCATGCAACATGTCCAGTACTCTTTTTTGTAAGGTCTCTGGTATTACCACTCGGTCTCCCCAAAGTATGCACCCTTTTTGTGAAAAAAGTTCAGTTTGCCGGTTCCTGAAGGCTTTAAAAGGTTCGGTTTTGTCATTTTCTGGCCAACCTCTCTCTACCCAGCTCAGGACTCGCACCAGCCACTTGTCTTTTTTTGTTTCGCGGGCAATGTGTGGCGTGGTCAAGAGTGGGCTGGGTAAAGTTTCTATTTGAAGGACTGGTATCGTGGGTGCTGGGTCGTCTTGCACGTCTGGAAGGGGGGAACGGCTTAAAGCATCAGCGTGCAAAATGTCCTTACCGGGTCGGTGCGTGAGCTGGTAATTATAGGCGGCCAGGAACTCGGACCACCTAGGTGACAGGATGTTTGGGGTGGCCTTGTTGCCTGCCAATATGCCTAGCAGAGGTTTGTGATCAGTAATGATTGAAAAGGTCCTACCGTAGATGTATTTGTGGAACCTTTTCACTCCAGAGATGATCGCTAGGGCTTCCTTGTCCAGTTGGCTGTAGTTTCTTTCCGGTTTGGACAAGGTTCTTGAAAAGAAGGCGATGGGTGCCTCTTTTCCGTCCGGTAGGGTATGACTGAGAATTGCCCCAACTCCAAAAGGCGATGCGTCGCATGTAACTGTCAGCGGTAGGGTCTCACTATATTGGATGAGGACTGCGTCGGAGGTTAAGAGATTTTTTGTCTGTTGAAAGGCGTTTTCCTCCCATTTTCCCCAAGTCCAGGAGGCAGTTTTATCCAACAGTCTATGCAATGGTTCCACCACGGTCGCCTTTTGGGGTAGGAAAACATTATAAAAGTTAATGAGTCCTAAAAATGCCTGAAGTTCCGTCTTATTTTTCGGTCTGGGGGCTTCCTTGATGGCTTTGAGTTTTTTCTCGGTGGGGTGAATTCCGTGTTTGTCTAGGAGGTACCCCAAGAATTCAACTTTCTCGGTGCATAGTTGGCATTTCTCTTTTTTAACTTTGAGGCCAGAGTCTTTGAATTTTTGTAGTACTGCCCTTAGATGTTTTTCTAGTTGTTTTTTGTTAACCGCTGCCACTAGCAAGTCGTCAAAGTAAGGCACTACTCCCTTAATTCCCTGCAGCAGCCTTTCCATGAGGCTTTGGAAGACCCCGGGTGTGACGCCGACGCCGAATTGGAGGCAGTTGCATTTAAATGCCCCTCGGTGCGTTACAATCGTTTGTGCCTCGGCGGTTTCTGTATCGACCGGCAGCTGCTGATAGGCTTGTGCCAGGTCAAGCTTTGCAAAGACCCGGCCTCCCCCCAGCGAGTGCAGGAGGTGCTGAACTACTGGCACGGGGTAGGCACTTTGCTGCAGGGCATGGTTGAGGGTGGCCTTATAGTCCCCACAGATTCTTATGGAGCCATCTGGCTTGATAGGGGTGACTATCGGTGTTTCCCAGCGGGCATGGTCAATAGGCTCTAATACCCCTTGCGCGATGAGCTTATCTAGTTGCTCGTCGATTTGGGGCTTGAGTGCAAATGGCACTTGCCGCGGTTTGAGAAGGATGGGGGCGATGTCTGGGCTAAGATTGAAGGAGATTGGGGACCCCTTGTACTTGCCTAAAGTGTCATCGAAGACCTCTTGGAAGTCTCGTGCGAGCGTCGCCTCCCAATCTTCTTCGTTTGTGTGGTGGATGCCTGCCATTTCTATCCCTAGCGGCACGAACCATTGTAGTTCCAGCAAGCTGGGGCAGTCTTTGTCCACGATGGTAAGTGGCAGTATGTTGGTGTGGCCTTTGAAAGTGATTTTGAAGTGCCCGATGCCCGCTACGGGAATGCGGTTCCCCTGGTAGTCTCTGAGGATCAGCTTTTGGTCGCTTAGCTCATGTCGGCATATGCTGGGTATTAGGCGTTTGATGGTGTGCCACGAGACCATGGAACGGTAGGATCCGGAATCCACCGCCATGGTGCATGGTTGGTCTTCGATGTCCACCTCTACGCGTACCTTTCGGGCGTCTATGGTTGAGGAATGGCCGATGACAACCGTTTGGTGGGTCTCTTCTCTCCGCGGCGCCTCGTTGAACCGTTTTTTCCGGCCGTCTCGTCTCCATCAGCTGTCAGTCTGGTGATCCCGATGCTTGGGGGGGGTGCCGTCTCGTCTTCTGGGGCTGCCGCCTCGACGCCGGGGACTGTGGTTGCGTTTATTCTGGCATACTTTTGCGATGTGCCCCCGCTTCTCGCAATGCCGACAAATGGCATCAAGGAATCAGCATTCAGAACGGGGGTGATCGCCTCCGCAGTCGGCACACTGGAACCCTGACTTACGACCCCGCCGGTCTCGCTGATTGCGTTCCGACTGGAGTCGGTGGATCTCTTCCTCTTCGTAGTCGCTGTCAGAGGGGGATTCGATGTTGCCGTGGTGGGTGGTAGTGGTGTGTTTCTCCGATGTTGGAACCGCCTCGCTGACAGGATGGCAGTCGGTTCCGTTTGACCGTCGCATCCGGGCAGCCGATTTGCAGGTTGCTTTGGCTGCGGTCGCTTCGGCTAGGGTGTCGGCGAGGGAGATATCGCCCTTGGCCATCAGCTTGCTTTGTAGTGCGGGGTCTTTTAGGCCGAGGACGACCCAATCTCGCATGGCCTCATCTAGGTCAGTGAATCTGCACAAACCTCCAAGGTCCCTTAGATCAGCCATGAAGTCGCTGATGCTCTCGCCCTCGCGCTGGTCTCGTCGGTAAAAATCATGCCGGTGAATGAGGGTAGGCACGGCCAGGGCGTAGTGGCTTTGGAGGATGGGTGTGAGGTCGTCCCAGTCCATCGCCTTAACGTCCGCAGGTTTTGCCAAAGCCTTGGCCATTTTAAACACGGCGGGCCCGCAGTGTGTTAAAAATATGGCCCGTTTCCGATTGCCGTTGGCGTCTTTCAGGTTGCTGCATTCCAAAAACATCTGAAACCGGTCGATGTAGGACTCCCAGTCCTCAGTGGCCGGGTTAAAGGGTGCAGGTGGCGTGGTGTTGCTGGCCATCTTGATGGTCGTTTTCGCGCCGTTTGTCATGTGCTGGATTGTCTCATTGTCTCACAATCCCACCTTCGTCGCCAGTGTTAAGTTCGGCAGGTCGGACTCATAGAGACGAGAGACTCAGGTCAAGTGAACAACAGCTCTTTATTTAACAGGCTAGTTCTGAGTAAAAAACAGCGCTCGCGGCGGCTCTTATAGAGCTAGCCGCGGCTAGGCGGCCAATGACTTCGCTTTGAGTTTCCCGTGATTGGTTCCATCCAATCACGGTAGACTCCTAGCGAACCAATCATAGCCGTCCTGACTGTCCAATCATGTAACAGTCTTTGTGGACCAATAGCAATGCAGGGTTTCAAGCCTTCTAATATGGAACGGTAACAGAAGTGTTGCATGTCATTAACCGATTAAAATAAGGAAGAGTGGAACTTAGAAAATATGCATGGTTCTTTGCAGTCTCCAGATCTCTTGAAAATATTGATAGAGTTCACACTCAATGCTAACACAATAAATATAGTGAATTGTTACAGGCTTAAAATCATGTAATTACAAAGTACAAAATAATGCTAAGCCATAGACCATAGTTTGTAATCATGTGTGACAGATACATGTGTTATGCTAAAGCCAAAATGCTAAAGAAAAAAACCCACATTATGTCATAATATGATCTGCCAATAATGGCTCTTTCCCCCCCCCCCCCAAAAAAGAGAAAAAAAAAGGGCAAGTCTCTGTCATGTTTTCTCTCAGAAAGTAGTTTGCAGCGATAAGAAATGGCATTTTTCAATCATAATAACATTGTGATATTTGAAACTATTATTTTTACTTCCCTTCCCACTCCATAATACTTTGACATAGGGAGATGCAAAAACAATGCAAAAGTCATATACTGAGTATTATAATAGGAGCATATCAGTGACATAACACATTGCATAAATGGCTGGTTCAGAGTAATTAGAAAATCAGTTGAGACCCAAGTTCTAATCCATGAAGTGCTAAAGCTCAAAAGGTGATCTTGGATTAATCCTTATTCCCCAGCCTAATCCAGATAATCGGATTCTTTATAACAATAACTAGCTGGGAAGAGAATCAAATATGTTCCTAAGGGAAAAGGGTGGCATAAAAATTAATAAAAACACAATGAATAATACTATGGAAAAGAAAATGTTATTATTTTTCTTTTTAAAGGATCATTTGTTCCTTACAAATTGTTCACCTAATAATAAATATTTTTAAAAGCAAAAGCCTTTCATATTGATTTTCCAAACCATGAAACGATAAGTTTGCTTTGGTAAATCATGAATAGATAGATAGATAGATAGATAGATAGATAGATAGATAGATTACATAGATTAGATAGATGATAGATAGATAGATAGATAGATAGATAGATAGATAGATAGATAGATAGATAGATAGATAGATAGATAGATAGATAGATAGATAGAAAACTTCCTAACAGTGAGGACAATTAACTAGTGGAACAACTTGCCATCAGAAGTTGTGGGTGCTTCATCGCTGGAGGTTTTAAAGAAGAGTGTGCACAGCCATTTGCCTGGAATGGTACAGGATCTCCTGCTTGAGCAAGGACTTGGACTATAACACCTCCAAGATCCCTTCCAGCTCTATTCTGATTAATGATTAATAGTGTTTAGTAAGCATTTCCTAAAAATTAGCTAAAATAATTTAAGGTAATATATGTGCTGATATATTAATAGCTTACGGTGTAATTTAGCATTGGTAATTAGATGACAATTTCCCAAAACAATTGAAGTGACAACTTTGTAGACTGAAATGACAGCTTTCTGGACTGAAAGACATTCAAATACTCAGATAGGTTTTATCACAGCAACCAGTCAGAAATGATCTTAATCCCGTAAAGTCTATTTTTGTTAAGATTTTTTTATTTTCTTTGCCATCATATGGCTTCAGGCAGAGGTATTATA